GAGGGAGAGAGGGGACGGCGGGGGAATTATGGGAACGGAAGGCTTGTAGGACTTGTTTAGAGACATACTTACGCCAATATGCTCACGTATGGAAGGCAAATGCTCTGTTAGAGTTAAAGTGTTCCAATCAGCTTAGATCCCGAGTTGGCTTTTCGTCAGCAATTACGAAGTCCCAACTTTGACGTGTCCATTGACATGGGTGTGCATTAAAGTTGAATTTGAAATCTTTAACTCAGAGGAGGGCTTGGAATATCCGAGTGAAATTTTTAATTCCTACTTAGTCTACATCCCGCAGTCGCTTCCCGCCAAAAAATTTGTATATTTTCTTTCAGGCTGCCGTATGCGAGACCCAGCGTACGTGAATTAGGTGGGTATATGCTCACATAATTATGCCATTTCTCCCCCATCAAGCGTAGTCATGCCATTTCTTTTCGATCAACTGGTCAACCACTGTTCTGTGTTCATCATTTCGTTCATGTTTTTTGTTATATCCGTCTTTTTCAGAAGTACCACTTCTCGACCTTTAGTTTTTTTTTGGAATTCAAAAATCCATGAATACAGCTATTTTAAAATCCATTTGGCTTTAAAAATAAAATGATTTATTGCTTGTTTTTTTACTGCATTTTCGTAACCTTTCTTCTGTTTTAAGCCTCCATTAATCATCTCTTCTTGGGTTATTTTTGTCCTGGAATTCTTTGTTAATGGAGAAGCATTACCGGCGCCTAGGATCGCTTCCCGAGCTTTGGACTTAATTGTCAAAATTTCAGCTTTGTAGCTTCCTTAGATCTGGAAACCAAAGTATACGGACAAATATACAAGCACAAATACGCATCCAAACACACACGCACTCACACACATATGCAAAAAAAATAAACAGCAGATCTTTACAATCGTTGCATAGATGCAAAAAACGCGTAAAAAAACTCAAGATTTGAAATTAAAAATTCCGAACTTTTGTTAACTGCTCCCACAGTGTGTTTGGAACACGACGTTTCTTTCATTCTGGTTCAGAAATGCGATTGATGTTTAAATATTGGCTTGGAGAATATTTTGGGTATGATTAAAGCGCAACAGATCCCAAAGAAAATTACGATAGATGGATAATGTGCGAAAATTTAGAGAAGATTTTCAGGAAATGCACTTCCTTTTAAGTAAACAAAAAGCTTGAAAAATCGATCTCTGCTTGCCAGGACTCCCAGGGGATATGCTCTTAGCACCCTGTAAAAGTTCTAAGAAATTACTGAACATATGTAAGTAAATGCGTGGTTTTAATCTTCAGATGCTACGATCCACAGTATTCTGGGCAGCTTGTGCTTTACCATTATCTCACAACATGGGAAATTCGTTTACCGAACGGGCTCTTGTTCGTACATTCACCTTACTGGCACTACAGTACCAAACCTCAATCTGACCGTTCGCGCACTAGTTTACTGCTTTATCATTCCAGTTTTTATCAGTTGTTTTCGTCCCGGCCCGGTACCACTGCCACTTCATGATTCATTTCTGCTTATATGGATGGCTGCGCAGCTGAACTGGCTTTTTCCGTGTTGGCCGTGAACAAATGGACCGCATATGCATTAACTGTTTTTGAGTCTTGGACTTGGACAAGGAGGGGCAAAATGTCAGTGGCATGGAAGAATCAATCTTATCTGTCTGAAATTTAAGCTGCTCTCAGCAGTCCGAAATGTACCTCGTATTTGTTGCCAAAGTATTATTTAGAATTTATCATGCACTAAGCTATGCTTGAGGTACCAAAAGTGGATTTATATTAACCTTATAATATTTGAAATATAGCACTTAAAAACTCAGCTCTATTCCCGATT